TCTTCCCTCCTCCCTACCTTCATCACGTTTCCTCTTCTCACCGTTGGAGCGAGGGATCCCCAGGATCCCATTGATGGAGTAGGATCCCACCGGGTCATTAGAGGCGCTGGACACAGGAGGGGAGGCCGTGCTGGGAACTGGATGAGAATAAGGAGGAAATGCCGTCAGGAGAACAGTCGTGGTCGTTGGCCAAAGCCCCAAGGCTGGGCAGAGGGAAGCAGAGAACGGAAGGTGGGGCGAGGAGCCCATCCTCCCCTTCCTCCTCTGAGCTTCAAGGGGGAACATGTTGCCACATACAGTCCAGGTACTGACCGCTTCTGTCCAGCCTGGGGCAAGGGATAACCAGCCAGCCCCGGGCTTTTCCCGCAGACCTATAGATTTCACTGGGGCCCTCAAGCTCACCCCTGAAGAAGCAAGGGGTGCAGGTGCAGGAAATGCCAAAGCTGCCTCAACCCAGAGAGTGCCTCGGCAGTTCTGCAGCAAGCACGGCTCCAAGGAGCCTTGCACCCATCCAGTCCCTAGGCTGGAAACGCTCCAGGGAACCCCAGTTCGTGATCCCTCAGCCTCTGGGCCGGGTCTTCCCCATCCTGGTCTGGAGTCTGTGGCTTCCTAAGACCTGTCTCTGATATCCTGGGAGACACAGGCTGGCCCTCGGGCCCCAGGGACATGCAGGCCTCCCTCCCAGTAGCTTCTGGTCTTGGAATCACTTGAGAAGCTCATTTTCCCAGTCAGGCACAGGCTCATGAACCCACTCAGCCCATGGTGACCGACTCAGGTACTGCCCGGCCAGCCCTCCCTCCTAGTAAACAACAGCTCCTGCCAGTTCCCGGAGGGCTGGGACCGGCCCTTTCTACTTCTTGCTGGCGAAGACAGAAGGGAACAGCTGCCAGGAGGGGCAAGAGAAACAGGTAGCCATACCTGCATCTCTCAAACTCTCAAACCCCAGGCCTCATTTATGGCTATACAGCACCAGGTGCCCTTGGGTCGCAGGGAAGCCAGCCTGAGTGTGCAGGGCGGCTGTGGAAGGGAAGCATCAACCAGCGTTCTGGAAGGCCTGGGTCAGGGCTATGAGAGCCCCCGCGTGAGTCAGTAAGGAAGTAGCCAGTGGCATGGCAGGGAGAGCCCACATGGCTGGTTCAAGTCCCAGACCCTGGTTCAAGTCCCAAACCCTGCAGCTTGAGAAAAACACTAGGAGGACCAGCAGATGGCATAGCAGTGATGTCACCGGACTCCCACATGGTCCACTGTGGTTCAAGCCTCAGGCCTGATGGCTTGAAAATCATGCTGGGTGTGTGTGTGTGTGTGTGTGTGTGTATGTGTGTGTGGCCAAGATCCTTGGAGGAGAACGGAGGAGAAGGGATTGTGGTAGGGTCATCCCCCAGGGGGTGATTTCTCACTTCCTCTCTCATTGTCTCTGTTTCTCTCTCTGGCAAGAGTACATGCCTTAAGGCAAAATTGTCTTTAAAGAGAGAGAAAGAAAGAAAGAAAGAGAGAGAGAGAGAGAAAGAAAGGAAGAAAGAGAAAGAAAGAGAAAAAGAAAAAGACATGGGTGCATGGTATTTATGTGTACCTGAAAGCTCAAGAGGAGAATGGAGGAGAGGGATTATGGTGTGGCCGTACCCCTTGGGAGGTGATTTCTCACTTTCCCTCTCTCTCCTCTGTCCCTCTTCAGTGACTGCATGTGTCCTGTAGCAAACTTCAGAAGAAAAAAAGAAAAGGAAGGCAAAAAGTATAGCAATTTTTTAGCGAGAGAGATTTATGCAATAGGGCATGTGCACTCGCCAGAGAGACAGAGAGACAGAGAAAGGGAAAGTGAGAAATCAGCCCGGGGGGGGTGGGGGTGGCCACAACACAATCCCTTCTCCTCCATTCTCCTCTCAGATATTTGGGCATGCACACAGGCTCCTGGCATGAGTTTCAAGCTGCCGGGCCCACGACTCAAACTGTGGTCAGCCATGTGGGAGTCCAGGGCCTTATCACCATGCCACCTGCTGGCCCCAGTATAGCAATTAAAAAAAAGGGGGGGAAGAAAAAAAGAAAAGAGAGGACACAGGCAGAGGCGAGGTGCTGTGGGGATATGGAGAACGATCCAAGTGAACTAGTCCCTCTTAGGGTGACTTTGAGCCCTAAAATCTCAGGGAGAGCAGGACTTAGGAAGTCAGATAACCTTGGACCTCACTGGGGTGGGCAGTTCCCAGGGTGGGGCTGTGTTTCCTGGCTTCCCTAGGCTGCCGGCTTCCCCTCCCCAGGGCTCTTACCGATGGTGTGGCCAGGGGCAGTCACTCCCGTCCCAGCCCCATCCGGCGTTGGGTGGAAAGGCTGCTGGACTTTGGTCCGGATGATCCTGCAACGGCATCACAGCGGCATCACATCACACGCCTCCTGCCCAGGAGGACCCTCTCTGAGCGCCGCGGCTCCCTCCTCACCCATCTGGTCCCTGCACCCCTGCCCCTGAGCACTGCTGCAAGGCGAGGTTCCCCGAGGCTCTGTGGCTCAGACCCAGCGGCCTGGACCAGACAGCCTGTGCTCTGTCCTGCCCCAGCACTGTGCGCATGGCAGTCTGGTATTTGTAGAAAGGATCAGGGTGGCCGACCAAGTGGATCGGAGCAGCCTTTCCCTCATGGGGGGCGGGGGCCTCCCCTGGTGGCCATCATCCACCTGTCCCTCAGCCACGCACTCATCTCCTGCTGCCGTCAGGACAGGGTCTGAGGTCATTTGGGAGCTGGTTTTCCTCCTAGGACCCTCGCAGCTCTCTAGAGTTGAGGGAGGCGGTGGTTTTCCCTGTCTTACTTGGGCTAAGGTAGGCAGGGAAAGGCTGGGTGGCCTTTTTTATCCTCAGGATCCCAGCACAGTTCCTGGATCCTTTGCAGAGATAAGGCCCCGAACAACCTCTTCCTGAATCCACCTACTGCCCTCAAACTAGTCAAAGCCCTGTCCCCACCCGGCTAGCTGCTCAGTGGCTTCCTTCTCCGAGGCCTGCCTGGGTCACGGCTCTTGTGTTGAAAAGCCCGGTGCCCTCTCTGTATGCCAAGCTGGGAGGGGGCCAAATCCAACATTCCAGGGCCTTTCCACTGACCTAAAAGACCGAGATCTCAGGGATGCAAAAGACTGACCCCGGGGCCAGGACCGAGGAAAGCTCCTCTCTACCTCTGGTCCAATTAGGAGCCCCGGAAGCCGCTTTCCCCACAGCACTTCTCCCCACTGCAGAGAGGTGCGTGAGCCCTGCTCACCCCAACCAGCCAGGCGGCACAGCCATAAACCGTTCAGCTCTAAGCAGCTTCTGCTGAGCACTCATGGGCAGGAGAGAGAAGGCCACTGCCCCGTAGAGCTGGAAAGGAGGCAGGGCAGGGCAGAGATGGCTTACACGCAGAGAAGCCACGTTACCGAGGGGCACTGGGGTTAGTGCAGATGACGCAGAGGAGTGTCCCCTCGGAGGGGGAGTCACTGACGGGGGGACCTGATGCAAGACAAAGCTGAGCAGGGCTGAAATCCAGGCTCGGAGCACAGTGGAAAGGGCGGCGGGCTCCATGCCAGGGCCCTGAGTCCTGGCTCTGACACTGCTACTAAAAGGCCACCTAGCCTTGGACTTTCCACTCAACTCTGCACCTGTTTCCTTGGCTGTAAAATAAAGGGGTTGAGCTCTCCCCCAGCAAAAGCAAAACAAAACAGCCCCCAAACATAATTCTACCTGAGACCAACAGATGAGGAATACAGAACAGTGGTCCACATGCCCAACGGAACGCCGTTCTGCCATTAAAAGAATGAAGAACTCCCTTCATTTGTCGCAATGTCTATAACCTGAATACTGTGTTAAGTGGGATGAGCTGGGCACGGTAAGACAGCTACTGCATGGTCTCACTCGTACGTGGAATCGAGAAAAGAGGATCAAAGAATGGGAAGTGGAAGAGTGGTTACCAGAGGCTAGGGAGGGGAGTGGGGACGGGAGGGTGGGGAGGCTGGTCAGTGGATAAACAGTTACAGTTACATGGGGAGAATGAGTTCTGGCACTCTGCGACATAGTAGTGACTGTAGCTAATAATAATAAATGGTACATTTCAAGATGGCTAGAAAGGAGGATTTCTTTGTTTTGGGTTTTTTTCTAGAGAGATTTTTGCTATAGGGCACGTGCACTCGCAGGAGACAGAGAGACAGAAAACGAGAAATCACCCCCCAGGGGGATGGCCACACGGCAATCTCCTCTCTGGATTTTGGGCATGCACACCCATGTGCCTGGCATGAGTTTTAAGCTGCTGGGTCTGGGACTTGAATTGTGGTCGACTACATGGGAGTCCAGCAATGTGACCATATGTCATCCGCTGGTCCCTAGAAAGGGGGACTTCGATTGGTATCGCCACAAAGAAACGGTAGATGTTTGAGGTGACGGGTATGCTAATTACCCTGCTTAGTCGTCATGCAATGCATACACGAATTGAAACATCATACTATAGCCCATAAATATGGACAATTAATATGTCAATTACAAAGAGAATAAAACAAAAAATCCACAAGATTCTAAGATGAACAAAGAAGCAGAGGGGAGAGCATCAGAAGCAGGTGCCAGGGCGGGTGGAAGTAAGTGTGGGCACCAAGTGAGTAGCTGTCACAGGGCTCGATGCCTAGACGCAGCCAGGAACGGCGGGGGTGTGGAGTCAGAGGAAACAAGTCTGGACACTTGCACGCAATGGTAATAACAGCTATTTCCACTTACTGAATGTCCACGATGTGCCAATAGCATATACAATTATCTTACTTTTTTTATCCTATAGGGCACATGTGCTTGCCAGAGAGAGAGAGAACTGTCGCAGAAGAGAGGACCACGCCACGATCCATTGGGGCGGGATCATCTAGGGATCCTAGGATTTTAGGCACGCATGCTCATACACCCTGCGTGTTTCTCAAGCCACCTGGTCTGGGGCTTGAACTATTCAGTCAACCATGTGAGATCCAGCCACCTTAACTACCACGGCCCTATAACTTACATTGCATGAAGGGACTGCATGGGAAAGTAGAAATCAATGCCTCATTTTTTCATGACAAGCGTTTCCATGAGCTTTTTGAAGATGCCTCCTGTATACTGCTGTGAGTTCTCACGACACCCTCCAAAGTAAATACCATCGTCCTTGCTGTGCAGACTGGACACCAAAGCTGACAGAGGCCAAGGGGCTCACTCAAGATCACACCGCCAGTGAGGACAGAGTCACGATCCTGTCTCTGAAACCCATGCTTTTTAGTTTGTCATGCTTCCCCCAACATGCGGGGATGGGATTTAGAGGGTGTCAAGCCATGAGTGATTTCCGAACTAGAGGAGACATGTCAAAGCCGATCCCAGGAAAGCAATATACAGGCCTAAGAGCTGGTCTCCGGAAAGAAAGGGAAAGATCTGAGAGACCCTGTGAAGGCGGGATGGCCGGGATCTGGCCACTAGCTGCAGTGCACTCTGCCTCTGTGCACCTGGGGGCTTGGCGCCAGGAGTCAGGACTAGGAGTCAGGGAGGTGACTGGCTTTGGGGGGAGTGGAGCTGCCTGTCTAGACGACCAGTGTTTGGGCACAGGGGACTGTCCCGATGCACGTGGCCATGCCGCAGCTGGCCCGGCAGAGATGGTTCACGGAGTTGCCCAAGTGCGTTAAAGGGACGAGAGACCTAGAGTGGATTCTGGAGTCCGCCTGCTTCTAGGGACAGAGGACCAGAAGTGACCTTGCAACGGAGCCAGGGAACTGGTCTCACAGAAAGTGGCAGAACTAGGGCAGAGGGCTTCACCTACGTGGATGGAGAACAACGTCTCCAGGAAAACATCATCTACTGCCAATAGCAACACGAAGACTGAAGGGAATCGTGGACAAGAGGCACAGACTGGGGATCTGGGCAGACACCAGGGACCTCAGGGCAAGCGTCTGGAACACGGGCCAGAGAGAATGAGGTTAGGGGGTGAACAGGGAAGAAAGGAAGGCGGCAAAGGGAGACTGTTGGCTTTCGAAGCTTGCAGAAACGGACAGGAGAGGACGTGCGGAGTCGGAGGGTGGAACTGGCAGCTGGGAGGGCAGAAGGCATTTTAGCTAGGAAATGGCTGGACGGCTTGCAGGCTGAGGAGGGAGAACCAGCAGAGAGGGCCAGGCTGAGCTGTCGGAGACTCGATGGCTGAGAGCAGGCAGACCAAGGAGAGGACAGGACGGGGAAGAGAGGGGAGTGGTGAGCCAGAGATGGCGTGTTTTCAGGTGGCCACAGCTTCAGAGGGGTTTTACGGCCTGAACTTTCAGCAAAGCAGAAGGTAAGGTCACCCCTTCCAAGGGCGGAGGGCGGCGGGGGAAGGCCGGGTGTTCACACAGTGGGAAAGATCAGGCAGTGGCTCAGGGCAGTGCAGACTCATCCACAAGAAGAGTCCAGGATGCTGAGCAGCTCAGAACAGCTGCTCCCCATTCACTGTAGCAAATGCTTCTGGGGTCTCCGAGGGCCGGCAGGGGGTCTGGTGTGAGGCCTCATGGGCTGGACTAAGGGAACCCCCGGGCTGGAGCCAAGGGAGAGAGAACCAGAGGGGCTTGAGGAGTTTCTGTCTTTGTTACCAAGAGCCCTGACCCTGGGGCGCTGAGGCGGCGGTGATGGAAATCACTACTCCCTGACAGCAGCGTGGAGGTGCGTGGGAGAGGAGCGCAGTTGTGGTCTGGAGTCCACCCACGGCTCGGGCAGCGGGCACTGCCAGTCCCACAGCTGACCTCAGCGAACTGGAGACCTGGGACTGTGGGAGCCTTTTGGTCATCCCATGCCCTCCTGCGTCCCCTGTAATGATCTGACACCTCATGGCAATATACTAGGAGTTGGGGTGGCAGGTGGTAAGGTGGTTAAGAGCACTGGATTCCCACATGGCAGTCTGCGGTTCGAACCTCAGACCTGGTGACTTGCTTTCTCACTTTCTCTCTTTCTGTCTCGCTCTGTCCCTCTCTGACCAAACTTTTTTTAAAAAAATAAGTAAATAAATAAAGTTAAAATAATGTTTATATATAGGAGAGAGAGTTAAAGGACGAAGCGACGCAGTTGTTTAGGATGCCGGCCTGATACGATTCCCTCATGCTCCCCCTTCTCCAAGTCTTTGTTATATTTGTTTCCACAAGACAGCCAGACATACCCACGTCCTCCATGGCCCCAGGCAGGCTTGACCCAGAAGGTTGAGTCCTCACATATGGATCCTTAAGGGTGTAGCCAGGGCCCCGGAGGGCTCGTGTCAGGAGCTGGGAGGTGCCGCTTGTCCCTTGCAGACAGCCTGCGCGGCCCGGGGTCCCACTCCACTTCTCTTCCCAGGTTGCTTTCCTCCACGGCGTGCCCTTTCTCCTCAGCCATTTCTGAGTTCGCCC